AGAGTATCGTTTTAGATACCCCTGGCAAGCGAAAATGGTGTTTCTTTGATAAAAAAAAACATATCCTAATGCAACAGATACAGGTGAAAATCATGGGTTTTTTTCAGGTACAACTGCCTTCAAGGAATATCCAGTGAAAGGATTGAATTACAACTAAAGCAGTGATTTTTGTTTCTTTTTTCATGTATTGCGTATCAAGCATTTATAAAAAATTGCATTCTCTCATTCTATAATTCAACAGTACTAAGAACATGAACAATTTACTTCCCATGAGAAAATCTATTGATAAACTATTCCTTCGTATTGAGTTGAATCATTTATATCTTTAAGTTTTGATATATTAAATATATATGTTCTAATTTACTTAATTTTCATTTTCACTCTACAAACATATTCATACAGCTGTTTTAGGTCTCCTAACACGTATGCTTCTCATTTTCTTTCGCTTTAAGTTGGTCAAGGTCTCTTTTTCATTTTCTGATATAGAATCTCGTCTTTGCGAGTAAAATGTCTTTCCTGGGATTATTGCGTTGCGACTGCGCGGTCGGGCCACCCGTTGTGTCGGTGTCGCTGGTTTTGGGGGTTGGTGGACCCCTAGTCCTAATTTTTCAAAGTCTCTTACAATATCAGGACTGACAGGCGTATCCGGGCGCGGTCTGAGATCTTTTGGTTTGAAAGACGCTTGTCCACGGCTGTATGTTGTATTCCCCGATTTTGGTCGTCCTAAGACTAAGTTGTTTGCGTTTATCATTTTGGCATTATTTTTGGACTGACAAGATTTACAAGCACGTGGTAAAGGTTTAGTTGATGTTTGCTTCTCCTCATCGATACGAGGTTGGCGCATGCGTTGTTCATATTTTGTTTCTTTACATTGAGAACTAATACAGAATACTTGTCTACAATATTCACATACATTAAATTGCACATTTTTCTCGGGACAGTCCCCGGTACAAGCAGGCTGTAAACACCGGTTACAGCATCTGCGGTCACGTGTTATAGGCTTGGCACTCGTCACACGCTTTGATTTCCGGTTTACCTGAGATCGTTTATTTTCCCACTCCTCTGTATCTATTTGAAGACGCTCTAACTCAACCAGACGGTCAAGCATTAGGTCTAAATTGTCTTTCGCTTTAGCTCGTGTATGATCCCTCCAGTTCCATTTTAACCTCGCCATTTGCCGTAAATCCAAGTCACTAAATGGTTCGGGAATGGGGTCAGCGAATTCATATGGAGGAATGTCAACATGATCTGCATCAAAGTCGTACTTTCGCCATCCCTTTGAAGAATCTGGAACAACAAACGAATCCAGTTTTTCAGGTCTGAGTATTAGATCCGGAACTTCTCGGTTTTTATCTACTTCCGGTTCAAAATCACTATCTTCGTCATCAGAGCTACTTCCACTACTATCGTCGTCTGTTTGACTGCTTTCAATTCCGCTTGTGCTATTGTCTTCATCTTTCTCCTTGCTCCTTTTGCTTTTCTCAGCTTTTAATTTCTCACTGTCATCTTCATCGTCTTTTTCGTTGTCACTTCCGGGTATTCGATCTCCGAACGTCTGCTGTTTATAAGAGTCTCCGATTAAGGTTGATAACACTCGAGGGTTTAAGGAATCAAATGGACCTGGTCTTACATCACTCGGTGTCTCGCAGCGTCGGGCGTTAGCGGGTACTGACCGAGGCCTGCGCATGCGTTGTGCATAACATCTTGAAGGTGGAGGGGTTGGGGCTCTAAAAGAAAATAGAGCATATTGTTAATGATCTTGGAGTAACCTGCCATATCAAATGGAGATAAATTTATCTAAATATTAAAGAATTCAATGTTGCTTCTGAATTATTAAGAAGGTTTTCTACAAATTGGTCTTTAATCTCTGTAACGTAATGGTCAAATTATTGAGAAACGAAATTCTGGTATGCATGTTAACACACTATTTTGCAAAGTGTCGATTGCAGTCTTTCATTTTATTATGAAATAGCACCATTTAAGATGGTTAATATTAAGAAAAATAATTGTCCTTGGCCAGATATCAATAATGCAAGCGCACTTAGCAATCTGTTTATTTAAAAAAAACGGAGTATATAATCAGAAATTTCGTTTTCAGATGACAGTCTTTTATTTAGAATCCAAAGCATACAAATTATATATACTTCACTACAAACCGGTAGACCACTGGTAGATTTCGATTAATTTCGAAAAAAAAGGTAACTTTGGTGAAAAAAAACTATCCAGGGCTGACAGATCACAGTAGTGCATGAAAATAAGACGCTACAGCCTTCTTTTCAATTTAAAAAAAAACAATGGACAGAAATCGGTCCCTTTTAAATGTAAACGAAGAAAGGCCATTCCAAGTTTTTTCTCTGTTTAGCGTCCACCCATCTTTCAAAAATCTACCTACCTATTCGCAAAGAACACACAAGCCAAAACATAAACACAGGCTTAAAAGTCATAAAAAAGACACCCTTCAAATGATTTGATCTAACTAAACTGCTTATAATAGCTATAGAAGAAATATCTATTCTTAAGCAAAAACAAGGGATTAAATGCTTAAAATACACCCAATATAACTTACTGTACAGAATTATTTGGAGAAATTGACAAAATTCAAAAAACTTAATCAATTTCAGGTTTTTTCTTATATGGGGTGTCAAAATCCAAGGCGCACGCGGACGCTAAACATAGAAATGGCCAAACCAATAAAATATAACAGAAATTAACCTACCTATATAAATAGGTCTGTTATTATGGTGTTATTTATATTTTTTGTGATAAAATACAATAAACTTCCCTTCACCGGTACCGAGTGACAAGCGAAGTGCATTAGAATTAAATATCAATATGTCAGTTCTATACATCATACTACATAAACATAAATATTTGTTGCATTGTGCAACTATTATGCCCAAGTGTCTCCAAGCGCCTGATTGCGATGGACTTCCGCCAACACCAAGATGGTGCTGTAACATTGCACGAGTGACTTTTACCTGATCGAAGGAAGGAAGGATCGAGAGCGAGGAAATCTTAACCCTGATCTGTTCCGTATCCTATCACAGTAAAACACGTGGAATAAAACAAACTTTCAATTTAATCATCAAGAAAACACTGCCGTATTATTATTTTCCTGACAAATATTATCAACTTTAGTACTGAAAAGTTTATTATTAAAATCTTGACTGAAATTGATCATTTTAAGAGGCCCATGGGCCACATCGCTCACATGGGTTACTTATGGCCCTTGTTGTTCTTCATCAGTAGATTTTTTTCGTATCGGATGCATATTTCCATGTGAAACTTGGTCACCCATTATCGTTATGACCCCCTAAGGATCATGATTTGAACAAACTTAATTCTGTCTGAGAATCCATTTTCATAAATATATCTTTGCTGTTCCTTGGAAAAGGGTTGAACAAACACAACCTCATGATGCTTCCATATAAATACTGACCAAGGTTTATTTGATTTCTTGGATGGAACATTTTCATTTCTTCTCCTATTTTATCCCTTCTTTAACTTTGAATACCCTGTCCATAATTGTCACAGCCGATCCCTTTCCTATTCCGATATTAACCAATCTAAAACAATTTCCTTCAATGATCCCACCATATATCATGACTCCTGGAGGTCATGATATGAACAAAATTGAATTTAGGAAGCTTCAACATAAGTCTCATCTATTCTTGAGAAGAAGATTCTTAAATGACCCCACCTAGTTTTTATTGTTTTTTTTTTATATAAATATTTCCCCTTCACCCAAGAATACTTGTACCAAGTTTGGTTGAAAATCGCCCAGAGGGTATGGAAAAAATATAAAATTGAAAAAAAAACGGCGAAAATAATGCAAATGACATGTAGACAACGGAAAATTTTTATTAAAAAAACAACCTAAAATGAGCCTTTGGCTCAGGTGACACAAAAGCACTGAACCCAGAAGAGTTATTAATAATATTCAATCAGAACTTATTCTCTGTTTAATCTAGGAATTTGGTCTTTGACATGAATTGCCAAAGGTCAACATGTATTTTAATATATATAAACAGAGTTGACAAGGAAGTGATAAAAGAAACCCGATATTAACAATGGCGGAGATCAGTTTCAATTCTCACCTGTCGGGCTGGGGTTGCTGTATTGGTCGACACCTGAGGAATGACGTCTCCTTCTCGTGGTAGTCCAGGGGTGGCCAGTCCTTGGGTTTGAAGGCCTTCAGACTAGCAGCCAGCTGGGAACGGTAGATCTGGGCTCCCGTCTCCACGGGCGAAGGCTGCTGGTACAGCTTCTGTAAACAAAGCAGCCATTATTTCAGTCAGTTACAATATCACGGCCATTAAATCAAGCCGTTGGTGTGTCAAGATTCTCACATAGATGTCCATTCTATCAGCTAATGCCACTATTGGATAAATCTGTCTCCATAGCCATACATGTACTAGTAGAGAACGGTTACCATGGTTACAAACACCAGATATATTTGATCTGTTTAAGACATAATAACGGTTATAAAGAGCAGGTTTTCTCTCCGTATCTTCAATGAAAATATTTATTGGTACTTAAAATACACAGGTTGGTTTGTATCATAAGTCAACAGTTAAAGTCTACTTGGAGATAACAAGCTACCCTCTTACAGCCACAGGTAAGACTCGAAATATTCTATATTATTTTTGTTTTAGGTGACGCTAATAAGCATTTCAAGCGAATAGTAAATAAAAACGGGGTATATTTAATGATTGCGACTGATTTTCGTGCAGCTAAAGATCCTTTTAACAAACTTGAGACGTTCACACATGCAAGTCTCCTCACGTGTAGTGAAGAGAAATAAAACGTTTTCTACATATAGAAGATAGTAATGTCAAATCTACTCTATACAACATGAGAGATGGACTGTTTTAACTAAAAAATTACAATTGTTAGTAGGAATGTTAAAAAGGTAGATTTTTGTGGTAAGTAGTTCACGCGCGCCGTGGAGAAGGAGCGGATCTAAAATAAAACCACCACCATCAGCTTACCACTTTTGTCACTGTGTAAGGCAGTTCAAATATCTGTGCAGGAGAAAAATTAAAACAGGCTGAAATATTTTAACTTTGTGTGTTTGTGATTTAAGCATTGTTTGTTAAATCTTATTCAGTAGCTGATCAGTTTTACAAAGACTATTTGTTAAACTCAACACGTCTCCAAATATATCAGCCACTTCATTATCATGATATAAGCATGATCGACGAAAGATTTCCATGTGGAAAAGTCAGAGCTTCTGTGCTGCTTTTTTGTTCTTAATTAAACTGTAATTTGATGAAAGGCAAGCCAGAGTGTGGATTGTATTGATTCTATAACTTCTGTGGCATTTTTCTCCGACAGAATGACAAAGGTCCTCGGCCACTGGAAACTCTTCAGCAGCGATGACCGCTGGGACGAGTACATGAGAACCCTGGGTATGTAGTGTTACTATTTATAGTTAATGAGAACCCTGGGTATGTAGTGTTACTATTTATAGTTAATGAGAACTCTGGGTATGTAGTGTTACTATTTATAGTTAATGAGAACTCTTTGTATGTAATGTTACTATTTATAGTTAACCTAGTATCTATTCAAGATTCACAAACTCTGGAATGTGCACAGAATTACAAGTTTTGTAAGGTATGACAATTACATTATTGCAATCAATACATATTTGTTAAAAGTACATTAATATATTTTAACACATATGTATTGATTTAATTAATTTTCCATAACTTCGTACGGCTTTCGAAAAGTCTCAGCGGACTCTGATAATATCAATGAGTCTTGATTCCGTCCTTGAACTCGCTTAGTACCCCAGGTTTACACTGATTATCAGTCAAACCTGGACATCTTGGTCTCTCCTTTGATTATGCACCGGTGAACGGAGCTGAAACCAGTGGACAAACACGACAAATGCTTGATCAAAGTGTTAAAGTTCGTTAGGCAACTGAGAACAGAAAATTCTTGTCATCTTAGTTTAACATGATTGACACCACAGAAAATATCAAATCAACTGTCATCGAAACATGTAGCATCTAAATATTCTACTGACTCTCAATATACCATCATATCTGTCTTTCAACAGTAACACCTTAAAAAGACTACCGGAAAACACTGTGAAAGTACATGTATTCAAATACATTATAGCAATCTATCCTAAGTATTATCATACCATCTTTACTGTACCCTCAAAATTTCGTCATAACAGTCCAACCAAGTACCACTGCAGATTTTGTTCTGTGTTTTAAATTAAGAAACAAATATTTTGAGGATATCAGATTCTATAAATTAAATCATCCTGTTTGTAACACCTTGACATATGTTGCTTTAGGGATCGGGTTTGTTTTACGTAAAGTGGGGAATTCCATCACGAGCTATGAAGAGCTCAAACAAGACGGAGACACGTGGGAACTGCTTATCACATCCACCTTCAAAAACGCTCATCTCAAATTTAAACTGGGAGAGGAATTTGACGAGACGACTCTGGATGGCCGAAAATGTAAGGTAAGACAAACGTGATTCGCCAGTTAAGGAAGCCAATCCAAGACAAATCCAAAGGCCCTGAATCCAGTCAACTGTATACTGTCAAACATTCTTATAAGCATTTTTAAAACTTTCAGTAAAAGAACGAAAGCAAAAAAAGGAACCACTAATAATAAATGGATAGATTTAATGTACCATCAACTTGTTCAAAAGGATTTTGTGTTTTCAGTCGTCCTTTGTAATAGAAGGTGATGATCTAGTCCACTACCAGAAAGGTATAAAGGAAGGCGAGGTAGACTCTAAAATCGTCAGAACAAGAGTGGATGACGAAACAATGACGATTGTAAGTGGCAGACTCAAATAGAATTGTCCGAGTACAAAATAAATAAATCTATCATCAAATGATTTTGTGGTCATGGACATTATGGGCGATACATTTGAGATGGGTGTCAAATATAATTTACTTCCTCTTTTGTCACGATTATTCACAATTTACTTGTCTCACTTAGTATATTTGAGGATATCAAACGTATTTTTTCTGCTATTTTACAGACTCTTGAAGCAATTGGCAAAGACGTGACCACTGTGCGTACTTTTAAACGCTACACGCCATAGGACCCTGGAATGGCCATGTTTCTCCTAATTTGCATAATAGTTCTCCTTGGGCAGTGTTTAGACATGACGTCATCGCATATTCTGGTTTTTAAGAGACACTTTTTCATGCTCGTGGGAACATTATATGCTTTGTACATTTAATCCTTAAAAGCAGGCTATTAAAGTCATGATAGGATTAAAAATAAATCGATTTACACTTGGGATACTTTTTGTCATTGTAAATCAGCCGTGAGCAAGGAATACAACAGCAGGAATCGCAGCAAAATACCTGGCATTCCCATGGGAGCACGGAATTGCGAACTGCATTTAGTTAATCATAGAAGATGAACTGTGTATTATCCTAAAGACCGGTGTTTTACTGATTATGTCAATAGAAACCTAAAGTTATCATGCTAGGAAGTAAAATTTCTACATTATTTGATGTAATACTAATTACTGAAACAGTCAAATTTTTGACTTCCAATCAAAAACCAAAATTTAGTATGGAAAATCTAACAGCAAGAATAAGATATGATCATTTTCAGTATGAATTCAATACGAATTAAAGTAACTAACGTTTTTTCAAGTCTTCATAGCACAAAATATGCTGATCTAACTATACTGAAATATTTCATTTTGACACTATTTAAAGTTAATGTCTCCAACTTTGGCAATTTGTAATTCTAATGAGCATTAACCATTCTACTTAGACAACAACATACATGAAAAAGCCATGCAAACTAAAATGTAGCCACTTGACAACACTCATACCTGTAAGAACGTGTTCGAGAAGGATTGGGGGTAATGAAATCGGATCTGGAAACGCCCCGTCACTAAGAATTTCAGAATTGTTACTAAGCAGTACTGCAGATCACGCCATTGATAACCAACACAAAGTGATGCACAGTACAGAGAACTCTTTATGATAAATATTGTCATTATCTTAATGGCCCTGTCGACAGGATCGAACAAAATCAATAAGGAAATACCTGTAACGAGGCAGGGAAGCTGGGTTTGCTTTGAATTTCAGATATACTTTGAGAAGAGGAAGTTCTCATCTTGGAATGCAATTGTATTGATGCTAACAATTAACAGACACGAAAACAGGAGTCAATGATCCAATATCCAAGTTACTATAGTGCAATTCTGGTTGACAAGTGCGCGTTGAACAACATATAAAACATCAAGGGTCTTAAATTTGACCTAGGGTACATTATCTCCATACCAATTATAAATTTGAAAGCTACCATATTATAGAATCGCTCTCAACATACACGAACAAACACACAACCATGGTAGTTAAGAAGTAGCTTTCATTAAATGACAAGACAGAAGCTACAAAAAAGATAAACTGACGACTTTAACGGTTCCGGCTTAACACTGCTGTTACCTTGTAAAGTCGGCGTCTCTTCCTTTTCTTTTTTAGTCGCTTGGTAGCCATGTTTAATTCATCCACTGATATAATTAACATGGTAAATAATCCCTCTATTGTTTCCCGGACAGATGACACAGTTTTTTTAACTGATCTGATGGAAGACTGGCATTGCTAACCCTTTGTTCAGCTCGGGATTAAATATCCTATGATGACATACCCGCCGATTTTTCGCTAGGTCAATTTGTGCTTTATCGTCCCTCAAACTCGGAAAGGACCCCCTCTAAATTAATCACACAGCGCCACATGTCTCTGTAGTTTCCGGAGAATTATAAGTATTTAATACGCCATATCTCATCAACAATACAGTTTTATGAACTTAGATATTTATAATCCACAAGCATTGTGGGCCGTGGGTGCTTATGGTACAATTTCTGGCTTTAAACCTCACTGAAAAGACTGTCAGGTAAAACAAAACCTCAGTGAAAAGACCATCAGGTAAAATGATCAAGCTATACTTTGATTCTTTCTGCAATGCCTGTTTTACATGATTGTTTCTGTACCTTTCTTTGTCAAGGCAAAGAACAAGAGCAGAACTCGATCAAAAATGGCCAAAATGCGGTGAAATATTTGCCCATTGCAAAATAAAAAATGTTGAGAGTTTTTATAAAATCATTGTAAGACTTTTAATGTTAAGACCACGTAAATTTTATTAAATAAGTCCTTAATTACTAGCTAGTATATTAATTGTATTATCATTGTCTTGTGTTCTAAAGTGACTAACGATCGATTTGTTGAGGCTCTGTTTAAGCAATTGATTTCTAACAACTCACACTATAAAAATCTACCAAAAGTAACCCTCGATATAAAATTTAAATGTCACAGTTCTTATATATAGTGTATCGGTGCTGTTCGTGCATAAAGTGACAATGTACGCCATGTTGAAATTTGTTTACGTAGCAACGAAAGCACGATGTTAATTAGCTGAATAGCCCATCACACGTGTCAATGTTTACTTCCTATATTAAACATGAATAGTGTATTTTACAACATTTTTATCACAAAAAAGCCTGACATTATTGACAAACACACTGAACACGTTAATAAGAAAGGTAACTCGGTAAGAAGGAGCGGTGAAAGTTCCTACCTGATAGGCCGAAGTCCTGAATTTATTCCGGAGGTTCATACTGACATCTCGCACCTGTTCTGTGAGCTTCTTAAACTCCACCTGATCATTAGTTGACCAAATTAATGAATCCAAAGTTTCTTTAAAATCGTAATCCATTACAATAGACTATCAGTTAACACATCAGCACAATTATTGATATATAAAACAATCAAGGAGGCGAATCGGACATGTATCAAATCAATACACATGCCCTAGTTCTAGTTTTTGAGATTCTAAATGTAATATGCAGCAGGTCCGCCTCCATTTATAGGGTATCAATAAAAACCCCGTCACCAGGCATAAAAACAATGGCGGACATGTACAGATCCACTTTTACCTTGAGCAAAGTTGTCGGGACGTTTTAAATACCAGCCGAAATTTTGACACAAGTTTACACCTTGTAAGACTTGGCGATATGTTTTTCTAACTTCGGTAGTATTATGGAAATGTAATTAAAGTTTAAATGCATTAAGACTTATTGAGTCTTTGTGACAGATTAGAAGGACATTCGGTCCTCTTTGTGTACCGAGATAATTTTCTAAGTTGCTTTTGATAGGTATAATTTTTAAATGCTTTCCTTATTACAAATGTATTTCAAAGAATCAATACAAATTCAGGGTCTTTCAAGGGGACTTTAAATATCAGAGAGACCATTATACTGTATGAAATGTGAAATATTTACCTTGGATAACCGGCACAAATTTTCATCTGAAAAACATAACAGAAAAAGAATCTGCTGTTAATTTTCCTGAGGATTTATGATTCAAGTACATTGTACTCTTCACATCAACAAATAATGCTTGATTTTACTAATACCGAGTTTATATATTTTCTTCATTTTTTTACAACTGCAGATCGGATTTTCCTTTGCAAACAAGAAGAAATAACTTTCATATTGATGAGCCCCCAAAAGAACTATTGTGTCAGCACACAAAAAAAACCGGTTACTTACTATCTTTATCGCTCTTGATAACTTCTGGTAAATCTATCGTTTCTTCTCGTAATTCTACATCACTGGGCGCCCATCCAATGTACTTCAAGGTGGCCTGCAAAAAAAGAGAGAAAATAACCAATGAGCATCCCAATGTTTCAAAAAAAAATTAATTCCAGTTTGAAACACGCCCCATCCAGATAAAAACTTCAGTTACATTCATTCCTTGAGACTTATTTGTGTCGTCGTTTGTGTCGTCACTTGTGTCATCGTTTGTGTCTTCGTTGTGTCATCAAGTGATAATTTTTAGTTGGTCACTTACCTTGTCAAAGAACCTGTAGCCTTTTATTCCAAATGCTGACGACGCATGGTTTGATATGTTTTCAAAATTTTGATTAGGGTCCAATGAAACAACGGGAGGAACCCATTAGGCTTTCAATGACATTCAATACATAATGACAATACACATGAATATTGATCAGGCAGAACATCAAAGTCTCTAGGATTTGATGACAGTTGGAGATAGGATGTTTCCATACACTGCATGATTCAGCAGCCTTAAATATTAATGTTCACTAAACTTAAACGGGAACCTGTCGTGAACCCCTGGCCGAGTGCACGTGAATATACATATCATTTATAATTGGCAAGAACATAAATGATTTAGTGTTAGCTTGTAAATGCGACCCAGTGTTGACAACTTTAAATCATAAATTAAAATTGGTTGGTGGATTGCAATGCTATGTAAAGACGAAAATGACCCCTGATTTTTTTCCATGTAAAAAAAAAAATCACATTCGTCTACGACTGAGGTCCGTCAATGTTTTTTAATGTCAAAAAGTGACCCAGTTCATTATTCTACGAGGGTCGTGAATTGTCTTTAAATTGATTTTGATGAAAATGTCTCCACATTTAAGTTTTCTTTTCATTTTCTGGATTTGCGTTATTAAGACTAACAAGAGATGTTTGTAAAACACTTATGCCCCTTCCCCCCAAATTGGATTTATTCTAAGTCCAAAAGGGCATAACTCAGTCTAAAATGGTGCGATCCTACCCAAAACAGAATTTAACCTAGATATTCAGCTGAAAAACCTGTATACTAAATTTCATTTCAATATGTGCAACCTCTGCAAAGAAAATGAACGGAAACGGCAAATAAATGGAATTTTTTTCCAAGGGGTCTAACAACAAGGGGCATAGCACTGTGGCTGGGAAAAAAAAATTGGTTTATTTATATAATAGTGTTGCATTATGTACTATGCCTAAAAAACAGAACTTGACCTAGATATTAAGCTGAAAAATCTGTATACTAAATTTCATTTTATTATTTATGTGCAATCCATTTGATTTAAGAAAATAATGGTAACACACGCACTTGCAAAAACTCATTCAAAATCTTCATGCTAAAATTAGTTGCATGCTTAGTTATTTTGGTTACTAGTATTTTCTCTAAAGGGGCATAACTTTATTTTCTGTTTTGTAAAAAATGATTTGTTTACAGCGTGGATCATTGATAATTTTCTTTTACATCCTTCAATCAAGCGCTATATAAAAAAGCTGACCCCATGATATCAATTCATCTAACGATCTGTATGTAATTAGTTTGAAACTTTGTTGTACACATTGATAAGATTCCTGAATAAATATAACTGTTTTCAAATAATTTCTATTTTCTCCTTCTTGTGTCAATTGTATAAATTAAGTTTATATATTTAATAAGAAAATGATCGTCTCTGTGGCGTAATCGATAA